TTTCTCCTTAAAAGAGATGACTGATGGACAGCTTAGAATAGCAATGAGGTATGGTATTTATCTGTGATACCTCTTCCATGATGAATAACTAATTTATTCAAAATTCCATTACTTGGGACATTTCGATCATGGTAGAATGAGTTCTCTGATTTGGGTCCTGGTTAATTTAGAAATAAATTTCTTCCCTGAGAACATTCAGACCTACTGAAACCAGCTGGTGATAGGGCCTGGACATGAACACTGCAAAGCAATAGCTTCTTAATTCCTGGTTTAAAATAGCCAGAGAGGTCTGGGGCCTCGGCCACCATTATTTTCTCCAGGGACTTTAGCACCTGTCCCCAAAGTCTACTCCCTGCCCTCAACACTGCTGCAACAGTCCTGTATGACTTCAGTGTCTACTGGGAACTGGACTCCACCAGCACTCAGAGCCATTGACCTATGAAGAGCTCAGACTCCAATTCCTTCTTTGACCACAACCCTTCTTTGAAAATAGACCCTGGGAATCCCTTGTTTAACCACAACCTCCCTAGGCCTGGTCCTTGGCCCTAACAAACTCACTGCTTCCTTATAGAGGTTTGAGGCATAGGGTCCTAGTGCTCCCCAGAGTTTAAGAGCACCCTGCTCAGAGTATTTAGCCTATGAAGTGGAACCACACTTGGAAGTCCCAAAGAAAGAATAAGAACTGCTCTTACTGTAGCAGGTGTGTAGACTCCAAACCACTGATCTTAGCTTATGTTCTGGTTTTAGAGACCTAAACACGTGAGATTTCAAATAGATTAGGTTCATAACCACAGAGACTTGTTTCCTATTGGTTAATGCAGAGCCTCAGTTCCCTCCAAAATCCCCCTTGGCTGCCACTTCTCCCATAATTTTCTTGGAAGGCTCTGGAGAATTCTCGTCTATGATCATGAAAGAAATCAATCAGCTCCCTACATGGCATCATGATGCTATCTCTACTTAGTTCCTCTATCTCTGTGACCCTGTTACCCTCCCAAGTTCACTCAGAATTCACCTAAATACAACAGCCATTGCTACTGCTTCTGTGGGCATAGCTGCTATCGGCCTCTGCAGGCCTTGCTGGGCTTTGGCAAGTACCCCTGTTGGGAAAGTGGGAAAGTGGAGATTGACCCTGACCTTGACCTTCTCTTTTAGGCATTCCATTCTGTTAAAAAAAAAAAAAAAAAAAAGGTACCAAAGCAATTATCATTCATGCAAGCTGTCTTTTCCTATTTCCCCTCTTCTTAAGGCTTCATAATTGAGTCAGCAGAGGGCTAGGATGAGAAACAATCTTGGTCACTGAAGACTAAGGCTTTGGTCCTGGGTCTGGCTTGTGGGCCAGATTCTGTCTTCTAAAACAAGTTCTATCTGCCAGCTCTGCAGTCTCTCAGGCAAATTGTTCCTTCCAGCAGTTCACTAGGTGCCTGGATCTCAGAAGTGAATAATGCTTAGGCAGAAGTGGGAACATCTCCTCTGGCTCCTCTCCAGGGACCCCTCTCTCATCACCTCTGCTGTCCATCACAGAATAGAAAAACAAAAATTTTTAAGAAACTTAATTTAAATCTGATTGATCTTTGCCACAATGAGAGATCAGGGTATTTGAGAGAAGTCACATGTCTCAAAGTGAAAATTACATTTATCATGGCTATGCATCAGACAATGAGAACTGAAACCTGAGCAATTAAAATTGTGATCAAGCAAACCAATCACACTGCATGATCTGGAGAGAGCACAAAGACACAACTAGTCACTCAGAAGTAAGAGAAACACACACACACACACACACACACACACACACAGAGAGAGAGAGAGAGAGAGAGAGAGAGAACAGAGAGGGCAAGAAGAGACCTTCCCCCATTCACATTCTCTCCCCTTAGGAATAGTTGAAGGTTTTTCTATACTGAGTGTGGTCCACAGACCAAGTACAGCATCACTTGGGAGTCTATGACCAATACAAGGTCTCAGACCCACTCCAGTTCGAGAGGATCCAAATCTGCACTTTAACGATGTAGGAGATTTGTATACACAATACAGTTATGAAATACTGCTGTCGACTTTACTAACACTTAGCAGATACAGAAAATATCCCTCAGATCCTTCAGAGGTCACATGTGAATGAGGTTAAAAAAAAAAAAAAGAAAAGAAAAGAAAGAAGTCTTGGGGAATCTGGAAAAGGATCAAGAGGAAAAAGTCATTAAGAGGGATTCTGGGAATGTTAGAGGAAAAAAAATTTTCAGACTTTTCAGTTTTGCCAAAAATTGGCTCTGGGCACCAGCTTTTACAGTGAAAGCCAAGAGAAATATCATCCAACTGAATAATTTCAACTAGGATCTGAGGTGTCTCCTCCAAATCTACCAGTAGACTGGGAGCAGGGAAGCTGGCCCAGCAAGCCAGAATCTCCACTTCCCCATTTCTGACAGAATACAGTCTCAGAAGCATTGTTGAAGAATTTGGTAACTGGAATAAGAAAGAGTGAGTCATATTCACTGTTGCCTTTCCCTTGAACAGAATTAGCAAACGTTATGACCACAACGTTGAAACCATGTAGGTGGAGAAAGAAAATCCTAACTTTAGTAGGGCACAGTGATACATCCAGAATTTATTTCTATTTAATCCTCCTGTGCTAAGGCAGTTAGGTATTTGCCGAATAGAACTAGGTAAGTACCTGGCTTTGCAAAATATGCTATTTCATTTGCAGAAGACGGATAAAGGTCAGCAACTACAATGTCTGAAAACAGACCTCTTCTCTGGGTTCAGCTCTGCACTCCTGGGCAGGCTGTCCTGCTCATGAACTTCTCCCCAGGAAAGCAGCAGATAAAGGTATTGCGGGAACGGGGGCAAAGCCAGCATGAGCGTGCCGTTGCTGCGGTTCCCTGGATCTCACTTTGTCCAGTGATGAAATCTGTCAAGGACAGAAGCGCCACTGCCCATGTACATACTCTGTGCTCTGGGTAAATACCATTGCCCTGGATCATTTTCTTTTCTACTTGGAGAATGTGTCTTGGTGACCCAGGAAATCCAGGGCTCGCAGCCAGACACTGTGCTGTGGTTGTGGGGACTCTGCTTGGCCAAACAGCTGCGTGTGACAATACAGAATTAGAAGCGGAGTCAGGGCAATGTGTCTCACTTGCCACTCTCGGAGCTGTGGAGACAGGCTGCTATTAATCACTCTGACCACATCTATCAAGCTTCTCTCATTTGGCCACGGCTCATAGTCACAGAGGCACAGCCAGGGTCTCCTGATAAATCAAATCCTACAGTTCTATGATAAGGATGACACAGGTGAATGACGGACAAAAGTGTACTGCTGTAGCCACAAGTCTACCTATTAAAAAGTGGAGAAAGGAAAAGTTGATTGCCAATCTACTGCCAAGGACTATTAATTACTCTTTCTCTCTCTCTCTGTCGTCTCTACATATAGTCTTACTAAACCTCCAGGATAGCACCTTGTGAAAGTTAGCAGAATCCCTGTTTTTAAATGAGGTCACTGAAGCTCAGAGAGGTTAGGAAAAGTGCCCAAGTAAGTTGGGAAGCCAGGATAGAATTTCAGGTTGAGGATAAAAGCACAAAGAGTTAGAAAAGAGAGGAAGACACATAGTAAGGAACTAAATCAGGGGAGAAAAGAGAAGGCAAAGAGAGAAAGAAGAAAAAGCAGGGAGGGGAAAAAAGAGAATAAGAGGCAAAGTCCAGGAACAGAAAGTGAGCTGCCTTCCCAACCAGAATTCCTACACTGGGGAATTTGCACACTGGCAGCTCTGCCACGTACAGGTTGGCAACTTGATACAAAGCATACAACCGCAGTTTTAATCTGTAAAATGAGGTTAGTCATATTCAGCCAACTGCCTCCCTTGTTTGTTTTCAAGATCAAATAAAACTCTGTGTGGAAAGTTCTGCCAAGTGGGAAGTGCTGTACAAGTGGGAGCTGTTCAGTGGTGTTGCAAGGAGCTGCACCCACATCAGTCAAGTGGACAGATGAGAATCCAAACAGGCCAAGCCCCCAGTACAAAACGAATGAGGACGTCTACCAAGTGGTGAAGGGAGCCTGGAGGAACCCCTGCTTCAGATTGGAAGCCAAATTGGGTGGGAGCCTGCAAGGCTGGTCTCGCATGGAATGGACCCTACTGATTGAAGTCAGTTGCTCCAGGCAGAGACAGCAAAGAAAGCAGAGCCTGCTGCTCTTTTTCCTACTGAGGTTTCAGAGAATGGAAACCCTTCTCCCGAATTCTGCCTCATAAGCAAGAGCAGTCACTCTGATTCTTTCTGGGCCAGGAGAATTTCATTGAGTTGTCCAAAGCTTGTATTTTATACTTTTAGAGAGATCTGGGAGGAAGAAAACAGGAAGTTTCAATGTGGAGATCTAGGCAAGGGATTAATGTGACATAATTCAGAAACTGAGGAGAGGGAAACTGAGGAAGGTTTTTAGTAAAATAAGGTCCCAACAAGAAGGTCCTTATTTATTGAAAACCAGAGGGGAATGTTAATTGAAGAAGTTGTGTGTGTGTGTGTGTGTGTGTGTGTGTGTGTGTGTGTATAAGTCTGCTTTAAAAAAAATTATTTCTTTTTTCTATGAGTGTAAGAGGCAGAGAGTAACCTTAACAGGATCTCAATGTCATAGCCCACTCTGAGTCTTAGCCAGGACCATGGTCATGCATGTTCCCAGTGTACTCAGGGAGGTCTCCAGATGTGAACCCAGAACCTTTTCATGTGGGTCGTCCTCTCAGAGCATCATGTTTCACCTCTGTACCACTGTCTATCTTCTCCTCTTGCATTACTCACGACAACAGAGTGTGAAGGAAGAAAAAGACTAATTTGCGTAGTTTTTTTTGAGGCATGAGGGTCATGAAGAAATTGATGACACTGGAGATCAAGGAATATTGTCCGGCCTGAATTGGAAATAAGACTGGGTTGAATTTATTAACCTTGCCCAACTAAACAGGACAACAAAGCTCTATTTGTAAATACGCATCTTTTTATGTATGCCTCATGATTTCTGATTTTTTCAGGGGCACTTCCCAGGAGATACTAGAGGAAAGATGCTACAAAATGAAGGAGAAAGGCCTAGAAACAAAGATGTGCTCCTGCAGGAGGAAACAGAAAGCCTTTCTCTCTTTCCGATTCCCGAGGATGGTAACAGTGGGTCAAATGGTATTTCCAAAGACATGGATGGCCACATCCTTATTGTTGGAGCCTGGGCATGTTAGTTTACTAAGGGTCATTCTAGATGTGATAAAGTTAAAGACCTGGAGAAGATTTATCTTGGCGATCCCTAAATTCCATTACAAGTAACCTTTAAGAAAATGAGGCAAGTGACCAGCAGATATTGAAATGGTTACATCATTGGACTCCCATGTAATTGACCATGGTTCAAGTTCCAGACCAGCAACTTAAAACTCATGTCAGGTGCATATGTGTATGTGCCCAAGATCCCTAGAAGAGAATAAAGGAGAAGGAATTGTGGCATGGCCATCTCCCCTAGGAGATGATTTCTTGCTTTCTGTCTCTCTGTTTCTGTCTCTCCAGCAAGCACACATGCCCACTAGCAAAAATCTAAAAAAAAAAAAAAAAAAAAAAAAGAAGAAGAACATGAGGTGGAGGGATATTTATTTGACAGACACACAGAAAGGGAGAAGATGATGTAGATGATGTGGACATTAAGGCAGAGCCTTCAAGATAGGCCTGGAGCCACCAGGAACTGGAAGAGATAAGGAAATATTCTCCCTCTGCAACCTCTGGAGGGAAGAGACTGGCTCTCAACAGGTCTGTGGCCTCCAGAACTGGGTGACAATAGATTTCTACTGCTGTAACCCCCTTATTTATGGCAGTCTATTGTAGCAGCCATTGAAATCTAGAATAGGTGGTAATGAGAAGTTCTCCAAGCCTTCTGACTTCTCTCCTAGGTCCAGGGCTGGTCTACTTATCAGAACAAAGCAGGCCACTGTATGAACAGGCACCTCCTCTGTGCAGAGAATGAAGTTTCAGGGAGGGAGCCTACACAGTACTTGCTCTTGACAGAGGTGCTCAATGGAAATGGAAGCCAGTAGAGAGAGGGGTTAAGGAAATAGAAACATAAAACCATAGATGTAAATCCAGAATCACATTGAACCCCAGCAGCCCTGAGAGTAGGAATTGAAGCTCAGAAAGTTAAACATGACAGGAATCACTCAGACTTGGGTTCAAATCCCAACTCTATCATATAGTTGTTGTGTGACCCATACTTCCCAACTTCAGTTCCCTTGCCTATAAAACAGAAGTGATAAAAACCTACCTCCCAAGCTTGTTAGTGTGAAGTTCAAAGCACTTCATACAGCACCTAGCTTCCTGAGGGATCTGGTAAATGGCTGTAGCTATTATTGCCCAAGATCACAGGGTTAGTAAGACAGGCCTGTCTGATTTAGGGGCCATGATCCTTCTAGAGATGGATGGAGGCTGTTTCATGATGTGGGAGTAGACGGTCTTTGTAAAGGCATTGCCCACATCACTGGATTTGTGCAGGAAATTGCCTGCTGTCCTGTACCTTTCTGTACAAGGACTAGAGACATGTACACTACATTTCTCAGACTCCTCTGCAGGGGGTTCCAATTTAGATTCTGCCCCTGGAAAGTACTTGCATGAGAGCACGAGACAGGCGAAGGGATCCTTTCTGACTGTAGCATCCAGAGTAGCAGTTGAATGCCACCTCCTGCTAGGTGGCTATGGCAGCAGTGGGGTCCTTTAGAGCAGTGGCTGATGGACACTTGTGTCTGAAACAGCTGCTCAGGCAGCAGAGGTGCAGGGTCCTGTGGGCTCAGGGGCTAGTGGGTTCTTACAGGGGCTGATAGAGTGCAATGCTTAGTCCCTGGGTGATCACACTGGCTCCACTCCCAGTTGTGTTTCTCCTTCCCTCCCAGTGACTGGGAAACTTTGCTTTCCATAGTAACATTCCTTTTTGCTTGAAATTTCTACAGTCACTTTTGTTTTCTGACTGCATCGATAATCAGTATATCAGTCCTTTGCTGAGGTGTAGGGGCCATAACATAGAGATTTTAGAGGCCCCAAAGGCCATCTTCACCAGGAAAGCCTACTCACATCTTCAATTAGAGATGAGCTTTAAAATGAAAATATGCCAGGAAAACTATCATGCTGGATTAAACACCTGCAGAGGAGCACTAGCGACATCAGAGTCTATCCTTCAAGATAGTTTTGTAAATGGGGAAGAAGGGGGAGATGCAGAAAGCACTAGGGCAGAAAGAGGAAGCTGGGATGAGAAACAGGGAAAAGAGAGAGGTCCTCAAAGTGAGGGAAAAAAATTAATGCCTGGTTTTTCTAGGCAGCTGTATTATTTTATACATTGTGGGAAATATGCATAACACATAATTCACCATTTTAACCCTTTAGAAATGTGCAGGTCAGTAACATTAAGTACTCAGGTTGTTGTCCCACCATCACCACCATTCATTCCTAAACCTTTTGTATTTTCCCAAACTGAGACTCTGTACCTATCCCTCCATCCTCCTGTCCCCGACAACCGCCATTTTACTTTCTGTGTCTATGACTTTGGTTAGTCTAGGCACCTAGTATAAATGGAATAATGTAATATTTGTCCCTTTGTGTATGGCTCATTTCACTTATCATAATGTCTTCAAGGGTCATCCATGTTGTAGCATGGGTCAGAACTTCATTTCTTTCCAGGCTGAATTATATTCCCCATATGTATATACTACATTTTGTTTATCTGTTCAATCAGTGATGGATACTTGGGTTGCTTCCACCTTTTGGTTATTGCAAATAAGGCCGCTATGAACATTGGGGTGCAGATATCTGTTTAAGTCCCCGTTTTAAACTCTTTGTGGTATAAAAATTCTAGGTAAAAGTAGAATTGCCGAATCACATGGTAATTTTAGATCTGTTTTTTGAGACACTACCCAAGTATTTTCCTGTTTGCCATAGAGCCTGCACTAATTTACATTGTCAACAGTGATGCACAAGGGTTCCAATTTCTCCACACCCTTACAAACATGTGTTACTTTGTGCTTGGTAATAGGCATCTTAATGGTATGAAATGGTACCTCCTCACTATAGATTTGACTTGTATTTCCCTAGTGATTAGTGATATTGAACACCTTTTCATGTGCTTATTGACCAGTTATGTATCTTCTTTGGAAGATATAACTTGACTTTTTTACATGAATCACAAGGTAAATGAAGAGACTTAAGTCTGTAGGGGAAAAAATGTGACCCCTCCCATGGACTTCAAAACTTATGAAAAAAAAGTTTTGAAAAGAATGTGTGAGATAATATTCCATGCATATTATTGGGTACAAACAATTGCAGAATGGGACTTTTCTACCTAGTCAGACAAACTTAATCAGAAAGCAGATTCCAATATAAATTCAAACAGGTTTGGAGATAAAATGCGTAAAAGCATACCAATTTCTATTGAAAGATACATAAAACCCTATAAAGGTAAAATTCCGTTTATTCAAATTGCAATTTATACTTGTCTGGGCTTCACATGGCAGGAAGTTGCATTTTAAGCTCATGGGGTAGGAAGAGGGGCTAATGTGAAGAGAACAGCAAATCAGTGAAAGGAATACAGAGATAAGCTTACTGGCATCTTTCTTTCACATCACAGCTGATGCCCACACAAGTGATACTTGGAACTGCAGGAAGGAAGGCTCTCTGAGGAGAGTGAGGAGGAGGATCGCTTGCCGACATTTGCTGAGGGCATTTGTCTGAAATGGGTGTGTGGGAGGGAGTCTGTCTTGAAACCTAGACACAGAAGAGATCTCATTTGCTTTCAAAAATTCCTTTACCCCTCCCCTCTTGTATTTTTACTCCAAAGTGTGTGCAAATTATTCCAGCATTTGAGCCCTGATTCACTGTCATTCTCTGCAGCTTTTATTAAGCTTTGTACTATCTACAAAAGAATAGCAATGAAGTTAATTAATGGCCAAGTTACTTGGAATATATATTCCATCAAATTTCTATCTCAATGTTTTTGACCAAAGAAATAAAAAAGAAAAAAGGAAGAAAAAAGAAAAAAGACTGTGCCAACGATAACCACTAATGCAGTGAGTAGCTGACACTAGCTCACTGTGTATGAATAAATGGATAAATGAATGAACAACTGAAAATCTGAGCCACCAGCTTTTCTTCCCTAAATTATTACAATTACATCCTAATTGCTCTCCTCATATTACTCTTAGTTGCTGCCCACCAGACCATATAATTAGGAGTACCCTTTAGCTTGCTCACTCTGAACTTCACTTTTGGTCCATCATTAGGGGCTGTTGTATTGACTTCTTAGTTTCCTCATTTCTGCTCCTTGCCATAGCTTAGTTGGGTCCTGATCAACTGTTACCTGGGTTACTTAAATGGCTGCCTGTTTTAGTCCATCATTCTGTTGCTAAATAGAAGTATCTGGAAGTGATTGATGAGAATAGTTTTATTTGGTTCACAATTTTGGTAGCTGGAAAGTTCAAGAGCATGGGACTGACATCTGGCTGGCCTCTGGTCCTATGTCACACAATATAGCTGACAAAAACAGGAAGGTAAGTGGACATATGCAAAGAAAGGAGAGTGACCCATGGACAACCATTTTACTTTTATAACAACCAGCTTAGTGGAAACTAACCTATTCCCACAAAAGCAAGAACTCTTTCTCTCCCACAAGTTGGCATTGATCTACTCATGGGGGAGGTGCCTTCATGATCTAGACATTGCCCTCTAGGACCCATCTCCTCTCAACACCATTGCACTGAGCAACAAGCTTCCAGCACACCAGCCTTTGGGGTACATAAGCTATATCTGAACCATAGCACTTCTTAATTGTCCTCTTCTGGAGGATCTCTCCATACTCCAATACATCCACTAAAATTTCAACACAGCAGTATTCCTTTTCAAATCAAATAACATCAGGAATATCATTTCTAGAAGGCTATGTAACAGAAATGATAGGCATAAATGCGTGAAGAATATATGTACAATGATGCTCATTGTATCATAATTTGCAGTACAAAAATGTAAATAAACCAAATAGCTACTTTTACAGAAATGGTTAAATAAATTATCTGTCTATAAAATTGTAATATTATGTAACTGTGAGACAGGATTAGATAGACTTACATGAATTAACAGAAAAAGATATTTATAATCAGTGTTATCTTTATTTACTTTTTAAAAACGTATTTATTCATTAATTTATTTTAATTTGACCAGAGAGAGGTAGAGAGAGGAAAAGTGAGAAAGCAAGCCACCAGGTCAGGGACTCATACCATGGTCAGCCATGTGGGCGTGTCCAGAGCCTTAACCACCACACCACAGACTTGTCCTGATCACTGCCATCTTTAAAAGAAAGTTGCAA